CCTGGGGGTTTTTAAGAGGAGGTTGGATGACCACCTTACTGGGGTCATTTGACCCCAGTACTCTTTCCTGCCATGGCAGGGGGTCGGACTAGATGATCTGCTCAGGTCCCTTCCGACCCTAGAAACTATGAAACTATAATCTGACTTAGCAGCTTCAGGTTGTTAAGTCTCAGACAATTCAAGGCAAGAGCCCTTTTGGGTGGTACTTGGGCAGGAGAAGTATTATTTACTAAGATTTAAACCAGCTCAGATTATCCTTACTGCAATATGGATAGTTAGCTTTGTGGGCTAAGCGGTTGCTGAGTCAAATTGATACTCAGGAAAACTCCAGCCAGAGGGACTAATTTGGCCTGATGTCTTAGGATGTGTTAGAGGGCTTGGTTCCAATAGCTTTATGATAACCATACCCTGAATGATCATTTGCTGCTCACTCAGGCAAACCAAAGCTAAAACTAATTCAACCACAGAAGCTCTAGTATTGCATAAGAAGGGCCTTTGACTCTTCCAAAGAAGCCTTAGCAAGTGGCAAAAATAGCAGGGAGCAGGACCTTGGTTTTCATGGAGGACTTCAAAGGGAAGCCCACGTGCTCCACTATATTACATCACAAATGTACATTGAAAAGTATCCTACATCAATCCCAGCCCTCATGGGGGCCGTTTTCCAAGAGGAATTTGCTCTAATTGTTGCGGAGTTGCCAGCACCTGGAGGTTTAATGTGCCAAATTCTCTCATGGTGGTTAATGCCATGACCTCTCAAGTTTCTTAACCCTCTTATTAAGCAGTCTGATTTCTAGAGATGTTCTTACCTTTGAGAGCTTGATGAGACTGGATATGTGCTCAATCTATAAGAAATCAACAGATATGGGAAGCAAGTTTTATGGCTTGCTTTCAGTACAGAATAATGAAGTATAAGGCCTTGATATATGACACCCCTTTACACATGACACCCCAGCCCATCAATACTCTAGTTTTGTGCCCTAAATCAGCTCCTTTACTTCAAAGCTTTATCTCAGACTTCAGACCACAAAAATGTTAATAGAAGATGGACGGACCATAAACCAGACTGCTGGATCTCCATTCTCTGCTTAAACATGAAATAGCAGCTCTGCTATAAAAATAAGTATTAATTCCAGCCTCAGCAGCACTCCTGGAAGACACCCTAGAGCTAAAGCATTACTACTGAAGGCATTACAGATTTGCCCATAGATTAGTATACAGCAGAGAGAGGCTTTCAATAGTTCCGGACGGTCTCCATAAGCCCTTTAAATAACTAGCATTTTTCAGCTAAAAGTTATGAATTCTGAAAGTTTCAGGTTATTAAGTGATCAGTAAAATTCAGAGAGATGAGATTCCCTCCAGTGCACAGCAGTTCACTTAGAGAAAGCAAGGAGGAATAAAATATCAAGAGCCAGCACTTTGGTATGCACACTATAGAAAGAAGAAAGAGACAGACAGAGAGAGAGAAAGAAAAAAAAAGGGGGGGGGGAGGCAAAAAGACAATGACACAAAACCAATCCAAACAATTACCTGTACTCTGGAAAAGGGTTCAATGACTCTGATCAGATTTTGTTCCAATAAGTTATCATAAAGTTTTGCCAAATGTGTATTTATAATCGGATCGTCCCTGAGCTCCACCTTATAGTCTGTTAAAGCCTAGAGAAGACATATTGAGAACAAATAAATTAGCATGAATAGAACGAACTATTAAATCCATCCTTCTGACAAGGCAGAAGATACCATGGTGGTGGTGCAAGATGATTAACATAAGAATAAACTAGTAATACTGGGATACTTTTAGCTAAAGGGCCATTAGGTCACATCAGCCTAACTAGCAAGTTGGCTGACAGCTATTATCTCCATCTTTATACTGATAGGGCCTAGAGTCTTTACCAGCAAGCAATTTGCTCTCCTCCAAGAGGTCTGGCATATGAGGATAGCTTCCTGACACCGTCTTCCTTTCCCCTCCTCTCTGCAGCATTTTTCCTAGAGTTTTCTTAAAAACTCAGTCTAGGAAGACCTTTAAAAAGGCATGGAAGTACTCAAGGGAATTCATTAAACTGAATACTGCTTGGGCAGTGGATTTCTCCAGGACCACAGCAGATGTTTACTGAAGATAATGGGGTAGAAGGAATCATGTCAGGAAGAAGAAACTAACCACTATCCAGACTTCAAGATCTGCTGGGCAAGTTCAAAGGAAAGTAGGACTGGAAGGCACCTCAAAGTCATCTAGTTCAGCCCCCTGCTCAAAGCAGAATCATCCTCAAGTAACCATCCCAGCCAGGTGTCTGTCTATCCTGCTTTTGAAAGTTTCCAAACATGGAGAATCCACAACTTCTCTAGGTAACCTCTTCCCGTGCCTGACCACTCTGAGTCAAAGTTCCTCCTAATCTTCAGCCTAAATATCCCCAGATATATCAAGGCAATTGCTTCTAAAATTCTATCCCCTATAGCCACAAAGAAAAGCCCAATTTCCATCCTCTCTATAGTCAACGTTCAAGTCTTTGAAGAATGATATCAAGTTTTCAGCCTGACTCTGTCTTCTCTTTTCCAGGATAAAAAACCCTAGTTCTTTCAGCCTTTTCCTCATAAGTCTTGCCTCCAGGCCCTAATCATTTTTTGTTACTCAGCACCAGACTCTTTCCAAACTGTCAACTTTTCTTGAAGTGCAGAGCCCAAAACTGAACACAGTACTTCAGGTGAGGCCTTATCAGTGCTGAATACAGTGGAAGAATAACTTCCCTTGATTTGTATGCAACACTCCTATTAATACAACCAAGGATGCCATTGGCTTTTTTTTTTTTTTTTTTTTTT